GATATTATGTGTTCAGAAGATTACCACATGCGCAACGCCTCATTCCTGTGGCAACAACCCTCTGCAGTGTGCTGCTTGAGGGCTGGCCAGGATCTCTGTGGTGGTGTGCTATGGTGTGTGCTTGTTACACAACCCTACTTATTTGTGTCATTACCTGCTAGGAGAAGCTCAAGGGCTCTCTAGGCATTTTCCCTTCACCACATGTTCATATGGGAACAGCTGTCACAGCTAATTTGCAGTTTTGGGCATCTTACCTTGTGGTTAATGTTCACCCCTTTCAGTGCCACTGGACTTTTCAATGCTCTGAGATTTTGTCTCTTCTCATATCCGGAACTGGAGTCTGGGCTGCTGCGAACCAGCAGGCCAGTGGGGGCTCCCGGGCTCTTTCCTGGGCTTCTGCTGAGCAGCTCCACTTTTATCTGGCTCATGTCCATGGGTTCCTGCAGAGAGCATTTCATTCCGAAAAATGAGCTTCCTGTGTTCCTGAGACTGCACGGCTTATGCCACTGTGGACATCCATGTGGGTCCCATGTTCAGATATGGGCTGTACCCTTTGCAGCCATTTGTACAATTCCCATTGTATTCTAGATTCTCATCCGGAAAAGGAAGGTCGATAGTGGACACAGTGTAGATAGCTGGAAGAAATAATATCACTTGTAACTATCTGGCTGTGTGCAAGATACCAAACTAATATACAAATCCCGTCTGGCCTCCGTGTGGACTGCCACCTGTTGCTGTTGTATGGCCCTGCACAATTCCGCTGGCGCGTGGTGGTCTTGCTGGGTGGAGCCTTCCCAGCAGGGTGGTCGGTGTGCCTCACCGCCCTGTAAGTCCCCAGGCACTTTGTGAGGCCCGAAGTGGGCAGGATCCACCTGAGGTCAGGAGTTCGAGATCTGAGCCTGGCAACATGGCAAACCCGCGTCTCTAGCTAAATGTACACAAAATTAGCCTGTAGTCCCCAGCTACTAGGAGGCTGAGGCAGGAGGATCACTTGAACCTGGGAGGCAGAAAGTTGCAGTGAGCTGAGATTGCAACAACTGCACTCCAGCTTGGGCGACAGAGCGAGACCCTGTCTCCAAAAAAAAAAAAAAAAAAAGCTTCCTAGTAGTTTCTGAGAAAACTGATTGCTGTAGTGACTCCTGAGTGAGTATATAGTATGTCTCAGAGAGAAGGAACGACCTCTTAACCAACTCTGATACTGACATTGGAATTGTAGCTGACTAGTAGGCTTCCATGAACACTGAGGAATTCCTATGTATATCAACCACAAACTGGTACATTCCTTAAGGCCGCCAAGCATTCTTATTTATCTTTATCGCCTGGCTCCCTGTGCACCCAGGGGTTGTTTATTTTACCCATTTAAAGTAATAAATAGCAGGTAGCAGGGGAGTCTAATCTTGACACATTTCAGAGAGTTTTCCGACTAAGGATGGTGACTATTGAACTTAATCCAGTGTGGACACTAGGATTCCAGCGGAATCTTTGCCACTTCAACTCCTCTCTGTCAGCTCCATGGGATTAGTGAGCTTTGAAAAGCAAAATGACTCCTCTGATGCCAGGCTCTAATGTGAGCTGAGGCTGGGGCTGTATTTCTGTCAAAAGCAGATTACTGCTTGTAAATCAACCCTAAAAAATGTGACAAGGAATACGAACACTAGAATAATGAGCTTCCTTTCCCAGAAGTTGGCGCTGATGATATTCAACTGTATGGCACGTGTGATTGACCAATGTCTTTAAGGCATGGAGTTGTAAAATCCTTGGCTTCGAGTTAAGCGTACCTGAGCTGTAACCTCTGCATTCTGCTAGCGGGAGAACATTTATCTTTTAGGGCCTGGGAAGTTGGCAGTAAGACTATTATTTTGGGATTTACAGCTAGTGAGCTAAATTCTCAGCAACTTCATTATCTACAGAATGGCAGCAGTTAGGAAGACCAATTCACCTGGTTTAGGCTTGTTGTGGTCAGTTCAAGGGCACAAAGCTTCAGGACAAGTATTTTTAGGTTTTTATAGACTATTTAAAAATCATGCAAAATCAAACCAAGAGTCTTGTTTAGGGGGTCCCCCAAGACTGCCCACACTTTGGTGACTTGCTGAAAGTAATCAGAATATAGCTGTACTCATAGCTAATATTGTATGTATTTATTTATTATAGAGATGGAGTTTCACTTTTGTTCGGCCCAGGCCCAGGCTGGAGTGCAATGGTGTGGTCTTGGGCTCACTGCAGCCTCTACCTCCCAGGTTCAAGCAATTCTCATGCCTCAGCCTACCGAATAGCTGGGATTACAGGTGCCCGCCACCACGCCCAGCTAATTTTTGTATTTTTAGTAGAGATGGGGTTTCATCATATTGGCCAAGCTGGGCTCGAACTCCTGACCTCCGGTAATCCGCGTGCCTCCGCCTCCCAAAGCCCTGGGATTACAGGCGTGAGCCACTGCACCCAGGCTTATAGCTAATATTTATTACGGTGGCAAAGTAAACATGCACAGCAAGATCAGTAATGGGAAAGATAAGTGGAGTCTGGAGAAATTCATTTCCATGTTTCCTATGCTCTCTTTCCTGTGATAAGTCACATCGAGGTCGCCTTCCTTC